CTGAAGCATGCTAATAGTTCTCACAGAGGAATAAACCAGAAAGTAGATATCAATTGCCGGAGGGTATACCAATCGAGACCTATATTCACAAACAGAGTCGGATAATATCTGACTTGATAGCAGAAAAATTTGTAAGTTTTCCAAAAAAAGGTTTATTAAGTGTTCTCCTTCCGCACTTGTCAGACTGTACCCACAGCTCGATCGAGAGAGCTGTCCTGATCCATATGGGAAACATGCCAAGAAAAATAAAACTTTATGGTTACTACTTTCAACTCTGGACTCTTGCGATTTATGCATTTCAGTTCGTCGTACTTCATTATACAGCCAAAACATCGATTGAGGTAATATTTATTGTACTTGTGCAGGCATAAAACTACTTCAGTGAACGTGATATGAATATATATTTATAATCATGATGGAAGAAAAATAAAACACTTCAAAGAAGAAAAATAAAACACTTCAATAACAATTGAATCATGATCCATTTTTTTCCTGCGATATGAGATGTGTCGACAACTTTCAATTCCAGAACCCTCTGGCACTTTGAATTTCTGTCCTTCAGAATTTCTTAGCCAGTAAATGAGCGAGATTGTTGCAGTTGATATTCAAAAAATACTTGGGCCTCTACATTGGACCAATCATGGTAATCTAACGTATATGCGCGGCACAATCCATTCAGAATGATCTTCTTTCCTTTGCGCCTCCGTTGTTACGTTGGTTATTGGGCAAATTAGTAATACTTTATCCGAATTTCACTCCTCGGGATAATCGTTGTGGTCATTGAAGACGCAAATTTTTGGAATACGAATTTTTACTGTATCCATTTTGCATATATGTAACTGCAAAAAATACAAATGAACTTTCTAACTATACGTCTAAAAGCCAATTCACAACTTTGTTCTGATAATCTTTTTGCCTTGATCAAATGCTTTCGAAAGGCTTCGAACGAGTAATAGGTACAAATTTTCTGTGTACACAACCACATTTAAGATAAATTTTCATTTTTAGCCGCAAATTTCCGGGAGTGGATTCAGGTCAACATATCACAAACGTGCATGTATGATCTGCAAAGAAGACATCGATTGCCGGTGGACATGTTTTAAAAACAGTGTGGCCCAAGAGTTCAAGGTCGAGTGCAAGTTTGTTTCCGTAGTATTTTTTGAAGGTTTTTGTTCGAATTATCAAATTCCTAGACGTTCCAAGAGGCCAATTACGCAGGAATTTATTCAAGGGATGCTTTTATGGACACGTTTAAGTCACTTGGAATAAGATTTGAAATAAGTACTTGACTAAATCTGTATCCAACTAAACTCCACGGTTTTCGGGTGGATTGCGTACAGCTCGTTCCATGTTAAGATGCGGAGAAGGGAACGAATGTTTTGCGCAGTAGGAAATTTATTCACAGACCTCTGTCGGCAGCATCATGCTTCATTTGCTCTCCTGTTTTTGATGGAGGTAGTGGAACTTTCAGCTGCAGATGTTGGAGTTATATTTTTCGTTACGCAATTAGTTGACGCGTTCTTCGCATCAATTTCTGGTTACCTTGCTGATAGGGTTAGGCTACCTTTTCTATCAAAGAAACTTGGCCGGCGAAAATCTTGGCACCTTTTGGCAACAGTCTTGTTGTCCGTAGTCGTCCCCCTTTCCGCCAACCGCTGTTATCCTTGTATTGGTAATCATCAAAGCTGGCTTCCAATTGTCTATTACGCCTTCTTGAATTCTATTTATGGCATATTTGTCATCATTATGGAAGTAAATCATTCGTCTTTCATCGCTACTGTAGCGGAGTCCGTTGAGGAATATACAGCTATAAGCACCTTGAGGTTTGTTATGGACAACTTTGTCTGAAACTCATAGTCTATATGGCTCTCATATTTATGTTTTATGTAGCTTTACAAATTTCCCTCTTCACTCTCTCGCCTAGGACGTTCTCCTGTAAACTAATTTTGGTTTTCTTCGGAGGATGTAATTTAAATTAATTTGTAACTCATGCATGCGAATTATCCTCAAAATTATCATATAATCGTGGGAGCTATAAAGTAGGCAAAGAGAAATAAAGCAGTTCAGCTTATTGGATTGGCAATTCGGTCATTTTACAATTAAGTGGGACACAATGTTTACTTTTTCGTAATATGATCAAAGCAAGTGCAATGGGAGGCCATATTTCCCAGATTCATTTTGCAAGGATAACATAAATGGCACTAAAGAACTATTTCCCATATTCTTGTATTTTATCTGTTTACAAGGACAATGTTCAGCTTCCTAAGTGGCATTCTCATTTACACAGTCGCTTGGGGCCTTCTCAGAAAAGACAAAGGCAATAATTTGGGACCTCACAGCCTTCCAGAGTTTCTGGTAAGTAGCAGCAACCCATAAACGCTTAGGGGCCATAGTATACTCAACTTTCTATTGGTGTTAAGTAACTGTAAAGGAGAGATATGAGCAATTGAAAAAAGAGTTTCCTGGGCTGCTTGTTTGCTCTTTGCTGTGTTTGCCTCTTGTAACTCAGTTTTTCGTCCGTCAAAGTATCAGTTACCTTCTTCTAATTTGCCTATTGATTTTTTCTTTCTTTAACAGTACCTTGCGTGCATTCTTAGTGGAACCGGAATCTTCTTTGCAGCTTTTTTTCACCTTGGTATAAAGGAACCTCAAACACGTGTGAGAAGAAAGAGCACCGTAAAGGGACTTTTGGTAAGAATAGGAGATATCTTAGATATCTTGAATTTTGTTGAAGTGCTGCATGAGTGAATACTTCGTTTGCTTCCTTAATCCAGGAAACTTCTAATGGCTAATTGCGGCACCTTTATGCGTGTCCCTTAACTCTTCCTAAATTGTATGCACGAAGCTCGTTTCCTATAAATTGCCTGGTCATATAATTACGTCGTTTTTATGTGTATATTTACGACAACATTTTTCCCGAGATTTCAGACTACTTACATGATCTAGATGTAGATTACAGCTGTAAAAATGTCCTGTGGCCGACAGAAGAAAAAAGGTGCGATCTACGCATGTGTTGCAAATTTTATTCCATACTGTCCTCTTTCTCTTAATTTGTAGAATTCTCCTGGAATATTCCTGACTGACTTTGGACCCGAAAATGGCGGTAAGTCTATGAATTGCGCAGTTCAGTTGGAGTTAGATGCTTTTGCGTTTACTACAAAATTGCAGACCTGTCTTCCCTCCAGTATCAAAATAATGTTACAAAAGTAATATACAGTATTCATAGGAAAACCCCATTCTTCTTCGCCTCTTGGAGTGATAGGACCTGTTTTTGTGTCCTGTTCATTTATTACTAAACAATTCATTTATGCTATGGAACTTTTATTTTTAGGGAATAAATCATATTGCTTACATGGATCCTTCATGTAATGAAGATTTGAGACATGTGCTTGTATTCTAATACATATTTTAACTGACAGGATCTATAATTCTACCTTTGAACTACCATGCCAAGCATTTGGTAGCTTAATGATTGATTGTCTCTTTTGATTGTCTAGACACTAGAAAAAGGAGCATTGCTTACAATTTCGTTGACATGATTATGACTTCCACCGAATATGAAGAAGACCAAAGTGAGATGAACGGAGATAGAAGAAGAAGGAGCCATGAATTGCCTAGAAGAAAACGAAGTCGATTTCAGACGTTCGTTGATGCTCTATTTTCTGACGGGAAGACTGACAACACTGGTCAAAATCAGGATCCGTTAAAGTCTGCCACTGAGGAAACCACAAAGAATCCAAAAATTGAGGATTTAAAAAGACAATTGATTTCAGAAGTGCAGCATCTAGATCCAGAACGAAAGAGGAGTCTCTTAATGCGTGTGTTTGATGAACTAATGTTTGGATTACAGCGGGAAGAGCAAGTGCAATTAACGTGTATTGATGTTACTGGGGATCAAATTGCAAAGGACGGCGAAGAAGACGAATATGTAACTGGTGTAGAGTTCTTGGAGGCTGGACAAGAAAAGATCAAAAACTCCCCTGACGAAGGTGAATGGATAGTGACCAACGAGGTGGGTCCCCCTGAAGGTAAAAATGGAAACGAGGTGGCAGAAATTGACAAAGAGGACCAGAATAAAATCAATCTTGATGACATTACTCAGAACTATCCGAAACAGAATTGTAGAGAGGAGGTAAGAGATGACGGAGAAGACCAGAATGAAAACATTCCAGGGACATCATTTCGGACCAAACGTAACCAAAGAAAATATGGAATCGTGCATTTACCAGATGTTGGTGAATATAGTCTCTCCAACTCTGGATTTGAAGATGACGAAAATGATGGCGATAGAATAAAGAGCTTTTGTTATGCAAAAGAAGAAAAGCAAAAAAAGGCTGTAACTTTCTTTTCTTCTGAATTTTCCGAGCAGCCGTCAATGAACGAGATCGAACGTCAGGATTTAAATCTTGATCACACGCCTGAGAAGAAAGTGAGTTTGGATGTATGCACTCAGAATTATCCAAAACAAGCTTGCAGAGAGGATGAAAGAATAGAAACTTCTGAGAGTGGAAATGATTCGTCAGCTGCAAGAGAAAACCCTGAACTACTTGGTGTCCCTATTCCTTTGAAAAATGCAGAACCTAAGAGAAAACCGCCAAAACGAATCAAAGACTGGCTGAGGGATCCAGGATTGTATAAGGTAAACCTTTGCTCTTCCAACTTTTCTGGTTAGCTGGATGTATTTATTTTATTATGATTTGTTCTCCTTCTACTTCATCTCTTCATTTTCAGGTGGCTATTATATTTGCATGTACACGCCATGCACAGGAATTTACCACTACCTACTTGCCGCTTTTCCTCACAGAAACATTGCTATTTCCTAAGGTATGAATTGCCCGTATTTTTCTTTACCTTGTTTTCCAACGTGAATTGTACTTTTGGTTTCATATTGAAAAATATGATCGTTACATTATCACGATTTATTGTTTATTGTGGCTTAGGAATCTACCGCCTATTTTCCACTCATACTCTTGATCAGTGGCTCTCTAGCGAGTTCAACATCTGACAAACTAAACAACAAAATTGGGAGTAAGGTAGGACTTTAATTTTGAATCCTAGACTACAGCTTTTGTGGCTGGCAAGTCAGAAGCGTATTTTATTTATTTTTGTGTTGTCTGACTGTTCAAAATTTGCTAACGGCTTATTCGTTTGTGGTTGTTTTTTTTATCTTTACAAGGATCAATGAATCAAGGAATCTTTTTATAGCTTTGATAAAGTTAACTAGACTGGCTAGCGAGCTTAGAACTCGCCAACCCTCTTATCCTATATATAAACAAGATAGTCTTCAGTTAACATTGCTCATCCAAGCAGTGGGTAAGACGCTTGTTACAAAGAAATTTTCTCTTCTTTGTCTCTTTCTTTTGGCAGAACCAACTAAAGCCTTCTTTTGTTAAATGAGTCCTACTAACCCGCAAACTTTCCTTGATTTCCACATCTAGTGGACTTACCTTTTGGCAGGTTTGTTAGTGATTGGTGGTGCTGTTTGGAGCTATTTTCAAACCATCTCCATCAAACAGTCAACATATGCACCAGTGGTCATAATAGGGAGCGGTTTGTCCATTATGCATGTCATGGCTCTTGTCTTCATCATTGAGCTGATCGGGGATTGTAAGGTTAGAGTTAAAAACAAATTACGATATACTTTAAAACAATTAAACTCCTGAAGGGTGGTCGATACAACCAGCAACATCCAATCGGCCGATCAGTAAGTAAGCATTTGAAGTAGGGTCACAATTTGATTGAGTGTCGCACAAAAAAAAGGAAGTGATCACAATGGCTTACTAGAGAAAAGGAATGTATTGCAAGCAGCCAATCAGAATGTAACATAAAAGAGCAGACTGCCTGAAACAGGGTAAACCGTTGAATAATATGAAATCGGTGTCAGTTTTGCTTGTGATCGGTTGAGAGGCGAGAGCTGTCGAAATCAACCATAGAGAGGATTGCTATCGACAGTAATTGAGCATTGTTCTAATGTTAGCAACTATGTTTTCCTCTGTGAGTTCAAAAACATGATGGAGCAATTTCCTTTCAGGAAAACAGTGGATCAGTGTTTGCCATTATCGATGTGATCACCAGAGTTTCAAGCGGTTTAATTTTAATTGGTATACAGGAATTTTACCCAGACGAAAGGTAAGCGAAAGTCATAGTGTGATGTTGCCTTGCTGAGAACTATAACATCAACTTAATACATCTATGATGGCTATACCACAGCTTCTTTTGTGAAAACTCGAATATAAATGTAATCATGAGTTGCTTTTTTGGCTAACTTTTAAGAACTTTTTATTTATCAGTATGACGTCGTTTTTTTTGCCAGATTTTGAAATGGAATGAAAGCGTTACGTAGTGAATAATTATTAGTTCTGTTCCCTATTTTTGATTAAGAACCAGCTCAAACGATGCAGTTACCAACTATGTGCGACATGTGTTTGCTTTGACGACCGGAGTTTTAGCTCTGGTGGGATCCCTAGTGGTTTTGTTTTTCCAACCGTCAAAGTTTATCAACAGTACTAGAGGTAAGGACATCATTGGATTAAAAGAGTTTTGTGACAAGTGTAACACACGGAGAACGATTGCAAACTTTTCTGAATTTACATTTAACAAATGGTTTTGAGTATTCCTTTTCTTGCGCTTGTCATCCTACTGAAAGACGTAGGCTCATTCACATGTTTTTGTTTCGTTATGACAGCAGTTATTGTGGATGTACTTCAAAAAAATTAATGCTCAATTTGGGACGGTTTCACTGGATTGGGAGGGAGAAAGTATTTCCCAAGTCTTATTTAGATTGCAAGACAGTTTTGAAGTGGTTGTCTCTGCACTGAATCCTCTTTCTGCCCATCTCTTTTTTTCTTTTTTAGCTTCACAGGATGTTGAAACTGAACCCTGCCAACCATCGTTTGATGTTCAAGTTCTCCAATGTCCAGCTGAAGAAGCAGCGTCAGTCAACCACTCGGACACTCGTCACAATAACCATAAAGTTACAGTGCATTTTTGTTCAGAGAACACAAAACTTTAAACTCGTTGAGAATTGTATTTGTGTAACAGTTGGCTCATCGGCCCTCCAAAGATCACGCCCTTAATTTAGCTTCACACACTTCGAATCGTAGATCTTCTCTTTCAACTATTGGGCTAGAATGGAAGAATTTGTGGAGTTAATCCTGGTCAGACTATGTTTATATTTTACGAGGAATTTATTTGGGTGTCAAGGTAGGAGCATATCATGCATACAAAGGATTACGGCTGAAGGTTTTTCAAAGTTTGACGTTATATTTACCTTAGTTTTTATTAATGGTTGTGTAGCGTCTTTTGATTAAGCAGTACTCTCTAATTTCAATCTTTGTTAGTTTTTGGTCTTCTTGATTCATCAAGGTAAGGACGCCAGTAAATTAATTAGTAGACTCTACGTGGATTATGGCTATTGCCTTGTACTGTATCGCTTTTTGTTGCACCAGAAGACAGTGCTTTCAAAGAGGGAAGAATTTTATAAACTTATGAAAACTATGACTACGTTAGACTCCCGCCTTTGTAGCCATTAATCGACTTAAAACCTAAAACTTGGAAAAATAGACTGCGTATCGTGAATGGTGTGGAGGATCGTGTGATCAATATATTGTACAATAGCTTGTTGAACTTCACTACACGATATCAAAGGATCTTGTAACGGGAACTCTCTCATTGGTGTATGTTATGCAAGAAAGATTCAGCGAGCCAACCGGGTGATTTTGCCAAGAAAATTTAACATGTATTTCGTGCTTTCTTCTCAGAGCGTCTCATATTGAAACCACGCACTAAATGACTCAGCAAACGTTCCTCCAATTGGCAATCTAGTTGCTCTGGAGTAGCATTGTTGAACTTCAATCAATGTTCAGTCAATGCCTCGAAACCAGTTTTCTCTCGTGTGGTCCTTTTCTCGGCTTATTCAAGAGAGACGTTCAGCAACTTCGAGATGTTAATCTAGGGTTCCCATTGGCGTGGCCGCTTTGATTTCGGAAAAAAAGCATCTTCATTGTCATCACAATAATGTGACAAAGACAGACGATATTGGCTCCTTATCACATTTCTGAGACTAAATGTTATTCTTTCTGGAAAAGGTTCCATTCCATCACAATCCACAGAAGAGTAACCTCTATGAAAAGTGCTCTAATACTGGAGCGAAGCCATTTTAAATTCCCCTGTCTTCTTCCGCTCCTTTTCCTCGGATTGATAATCACGATAATTAGTGTGCTTGACTTTTATTCTAGTTCGAACATTTTAGGAAACGTTAAATCATAAATTTTTCAGTTCAGCCGAATTTTTTTCTATTTTTAGATTTTTCTACATGTTAAAATTTTTCCAATTTACCCTCGGTAACAAGGTTTAAAATAAAGCCTGCTAAAAATTTAATACCTCGTTCTTAATATGATAGTTTTCAGCTACAACGTGCCCACCAGATCGATTAATTTAACCTTGCATTGATCGTGCCTTGTTTTCAAGATTTTTCAAGAGCTGGCTAATGAAGTACCTTTTATAGAACTTGTATAGCTTAGCTTAGCTTAGATTTAAAACCTGAGTGGAAATTTTCTAGAACTTATACGTCAAAACTTTCTGCCAATACCTTTAGGGCTAATGATGTGGTCTTGCTATTTACTTGAAACGTGCGGAGGTCACACCTGTGTCTTGTTTCGATAATAATGTATTAATGTAAATCATTTATATTTTTTTCTAAAGGATAACAATATTAGCAGTACCAATGCAAGGAAAAGGTTTCGCCAGCAATCCTTTAGATCCAAGAGTCTGAATAGTTCATTCATTTGATGTTTTTAGCATCTTCAAATGAACTACACGGAATGCTTTAATCCCAGGGAGGTTTTAAGCAACGTTCTGGGTTGAGAGAGGGGACGCCCATTACCGACGGTTGATGATGGAACAAATCTTCCTTGCAAATAGATATTGATTTCTTTTACTTTCAACCGCAATTGTGGAGAAGGGCGTCGGATTTTCATACTAAAACATGCTAATAATTCTCATCCAGAAAGTAGACACCAATTCCTGGGGCTATTTGCTGTGAAAAGAACTTTATATTATTCAAATAAGAGTGAATAGTAATTGACTAATTTCCCCGGAAAAGTAAAGGAGTTACTGAGAACAGTTTATTTGGTGTTCCCTTTTCTACTTTTCAGACTGTACCTAGAGTTCGATCGATAAAGCGGCTCTGCTTTCTTTGATTTATTTTGGAAAAGCACCAGTTAATGACTAATAACAAATTACTAGAGAGGAGTCCGCTGCAGCTCGTCTTGCTGTGGATTATTCAGCCCAAAACGTCGAGTGAAGTACTGTGTATTTTACGTGCACAGGCCTCTAGATCCTTTTAGTGAGCGTGATATGCATGTAGATAAGTAATCACGAGGAGGAAAGAAAAAAAGGCATAAACACTTGTGTGTGATAACCCCTTGAGTCCATCCTTTTAAAGATCCTGAGTGTCTTTGTAATATACCTCCCACGTTCATCTAATGTGTTTCCTATCAGAAACTTCTAGAAAACGACCAGACTTCAGTTCATCCAAATGTATCTAAGAGATCCAGTGTTCAATTACGGAGTCCACCGACCTACATTGGCCTCGACAGGATGTGAAGCTAAAACAATGAGAGAACGTGAAGAATTTTCGATTATTAAACCATTAATTGATTGTTTATATATCACAACATTTTACACTTTCGTAATCATACATATGGTTAGCTGCTTTTTCTTTGTTTCAGTCAATCTAAGTGAACTGAAGAGGCGGGCGGCAAAGTTAGTATGAAGGTTTTGATTTGCCATCTAATGAACGTTTATAAAAACACGCGCATCTTCTTGTGCCTCAACATCTCGTTGGTCTAAAACGGAGAGATAACACAACAAATTCTTTATTAGTAAATCATTTCATCGATTATTTTCGAGAATTCACGTCATCGCTTATCATAGGCTTAAAATGTGTAATTCAAATTTTTTTATGCAAAATATTGGGAAGCTACGGCGTTTCGTAACCTTTGGATTTGGTAAAACAAATTGACAGATTGTAATCATTAGTGCCATTTTTTTTAGATTTTTATGAAAAACAAATCCCCGATGCTTTATTCACACCGGCTGATTCTTATCATTTTTAACTGTGCCTGCGCAGGTCAGCTAGTTTAGAATTCTATCAGGGTCAAATAACAGGTACAAACAAACAGGCAATCATGTACATATCAATGTATTCCTGTCGAAAACTTAAGATGTACAACTAAAGTATTGCAAGGGCCATCGTTTTTCTCAGTGTTTTAAGGTACTCACTCTCCCAATTCGACTCTTAAATCTTGTAGGACTTGGTCGGCTCGAGATAACAAATGAATAAAAGGGTAAGTTTCTAAAGAAACTGTGGTGCTGCGTCGGTCGGAGAGTATAGCAGGTAGTTTAGTGTTAACAACTGAGTTCAAAACGTAAATTGGCCACCGTAAAGGGTAAAAAAGCTGACGTTTCGAGCGTTAGCCCTTCGTCTATCGCTCTAACGAAGGGCTAAGGCTCGAAACGTCGGTTTTTTTACCCTTTACAGTGGCCAATTTACGTCAACTCAGGTGTTAAAAATTACCTCGAGATAACAGACTTAATTTTCTCTTCAGAAGGGCATTGTCTCTAAAACACAGACTGGTAGGCGATGAACCGAAACAGGTAAACAACCATAAGTAGTAATTGTTTTTGGTCCTTGAAATACAATGTGGTTTTTTTATCTTAAAGCAATCGGGAGACCTTTGTTGCTGCTCTTAGATTTCTGCATACACAGTCGTTCTTTTGAGCAACCCTGACAAAAATTCAGGAATGGCGCGATTTAGAGAGGCTGGAATATCCTCTCTTGATCAATACACGATCTAAATATCTTAAATCTCAGTATTCAATATCGGTACTGCTTAAGTGAACTTAAACTAAACGCGTGCTACTTCACGTGGAACGTGACCTTAAGCGCGCGTTTTGCCCTGTCAGACGTAAAACACTGGGAACTAACTGAAGAAAGCAGATCCAATATGGCGGCGTAAATAAATGGACCGCGCTAGTTAATGATGGAATAAGCTGCCTAAGCTGCCCAACGGCACCTTTGACATCACTTGTCTTTCAGCACATGTTGGCTTTTAGTTTGATGATGTTTGGATGGAAAAAATTACATCAAAGTGGCTGAAAAACTCTGACGGCGAAACCACGTGTGGCTCCATATCATTTGCCAGTTGGAGGTAAGGTTACTTACCCAGATAATGCATGATACTCTTTTTGGTTTCGATTTATTTCTGCTTCCTTTACTTAAATTGTGAAGCTGATATGTTATATGCACAGATTTTTCAACTTGGCGGGAAATTCACATATGTAGCTGTCTTGCCTAGAGAAACATGTTAACTGGAGCTGAGTTTACAACACAGGCTTTCTAATCGTCGAGTATTGCTTTTTGTTTTTCAATATCCGAAATAATTAAAATACATTTTTGAACTTTCGCACCGTTTACATTTTGTTCAATTATCGTGTGGTCTTTATAGCCGTTTTTCGGCAAAATTCCTAACAGCCCCATACTTTATTAAGCATATAGTTCTCATGCAGTTTATTATGCATACAGTGCTTGGATTAGGAGAACAGTACATTGCTTTTATTATGAGATTACGGCTTTGTTTTAGAATGGTATGCAGAAATCTCTCCCCATTTTCAATGAACTTGAAAGTGATACACACAATGTTTTAGTTGTTTGTGTTTTAGTAAACCTTCTAGTGTGAGTGTCAGTAGGTACAGATGAGAGAACAGGCAAGTGACAAATTGGGATTATCTTATTCGGTGAAATAGCTGCTGAAGGACGGCTGGTTTTCTCTGTATACAAGCTTCTGTTAACCCTTTAACTCCCAAAAGTGATTGACATGTAACTTCTCCCTGTAATATCTAAACATTACCCAGCAAACAGTTCATGAGAATATTCAAACTTATCAGGTAGAATTTGTTACCTTTATCTAACACCAAGTTTTCATAACTTACTTACAAGGAAATGTGTAGCAGCTGGAGGGGAGAATGGACAATCAGATCTTGGGAGTTAAAGGGTTAAGTGTGATAGTTTACATCACTACTCATTACATAAGTCTTCATGCAACATCAGTGTTGACATTCCAGAATGACATTTACTAAGTTCAATTTTTGTTGCCAGCTAAAGATTTTTCAGTCTCAATCATAGGATTCAGTTTTGAGTGATTTGTCAATTATTCCTTCAGTCATGAGTGAAAATGTTTTGCTCTTTTCAAGAAATATCAATAATAATCAAATCAAGTGCCTGCATAGATTCAGTAATGAGTGTATGAGAGAAGTTTGGAAAGAAGGAGAGAGATGCTTGAGGCGTGGGCTAGAGTAACTTTAGCTTCTTGATTAATCTCCTTTTAACTCGTTCCTCAAGACAAGCCCAGCTTTGACCATGAACCAATCGTTTTACAACATAGAGGACACAACTAGTGGCCAAAAAAGAAAAAAAATCTATCACAATTGTGTCAGGT